TGTCGAGTCTCTCCCCACCAGCCGTGATTACCACGGGGAGGCCGCCGAGCCCCTCTGAGCAGGGGCCGGGCGGTCGGATGTCGCGTCTCTCCCCACCAGCCGTGATCACCACGGGGAGCCCGCCGAGCCCCTCTGAACAGGGGCCGGACGGTTGGATGTCGCGTCTCTCCCCACCAGCCGTGATTACCACAGGGAGCCCGCCGAGCCCCTCTGAACAGGGGCCGGACGGTTGGATGTCGCGTTTCTCCCCACCAGCCGTGGTTACCACGGGAAGCCCGCCGAGCCCCTCTGAACAGGGGCCGGGCGGTCGGATGTCGCGTCTCTCCCCACCAGCCGTGGTTACCACGGGAAGCCCGCCGAGCCCCTCTGAACAGGGGCCGGACGGTCGGATCTCGCGTCTCTCCCCACCAGCCGTGATTACCACGGGGAGCCCGCCGAGCCCCTCTGAACAGGGGCCGGACGGTTGGATGTCGCGTCTCTCCCCACCAGCCGTGATTACCACAGGGAGCCCGCCGAGCCCCTCTGAACAGGGGCCGGACGGTTGGATGTCGCGTTTCTCCCCACCAGCCGTGGTTACCACGGGAAGCCCGCCGAGCCCCTCTGAACAGGGGCCGGGCGGTCGGATGTCGCGTCTCTCCCCACCAGCCGTGATTACCACGGGGAGCCCGCCGAGCCCCTCTGAACAGGGGTCGGGCGGTCGAGTGTCGGATCCCGCCATACCACCCATGATTACTACGGGGAGCCCGCAGAGCGCCTCTGAACAGGGGTCGGGCGGTCGAGTGTCGTGTCTCTCTCCACCAGCCGTGCTTACCACGGGGGGCCCGCCGAGCCCTTCTGAACAGGGGTCGGGCGGTCGAGTGTCGCGTCTCTCCCCACCAGCTGTGATTACCACGGGGGGCCCGCCGAGCCCCTCTGAACAGGGCCCGGGCGGTCGGGTGTCGCGTCTCTCTCCACCAGCCGTGCTTACCACGGGGGGCCCGCCGAGCCCTCCTGAACAGGGGCCGGACGGTCGGGTGCCGGGCCCCGCTCACTCCCCACCAGCCGCGCGGCACGTCGCCGACGCCGACCACTCACGTCAGCGATGAACATCTCCTCCATGTTGTCCATGTTGATGTCGTCGTAGATGTACTCGTTCTCGTCGAACTCGGGCTCCTGGTTCGACTCGGTGTAGTACTCCACGTCCTCGCGGATCTTTTTCACCTGGTCAGGGCGGCGGCAGTGGCTCCGTTACACAGCCGCCGAGCCGGCAGCGGCGAGGAGGTGGCGCAGGCTCCAGACACGGCGAAGGGGACAAATACAAATACGCAAACGGCAACATGAACGCCGGCTCACGATGTTCATGCGCTTCCATCACAAGGGGGGGGGGGGGGGGGGGCGCTCGCCAAGCGGTTGCTGCGAATTTCGAGCAGGGGCAGTTGGCTAGCCTGACTGACAGCTGACGGTCGCTGGTCAAGGTCAGCCGAATGAAATTTGGCCCACTCGGCCAGCAATACCGACATCCTTCTATCGATCTAACATCAACTCCTAATTGGTCCCAATGATAGCCTGCCGGGACAGCCATGACAAGCCGCGACTGCCGTACGCCCCATCGACCCCCTGATACGCTATCAGAACAAAGGCCTTCCTCACCCCATCTGATCTCTACCCTTCTTCACGCGATGACGACAACAACCACAGCTCGCGGACACGATGACTGCGAAAACAACCACACTTCCGCCGCCGCGCGCGGCAGCTCACGCCGGTTCAAATCTCACAGCTCGCCTCTCGGTTGACAACAAGCGACCACCCGCCCCCGATCGACGCCAAGTCCAGGCCGCGCCGCACTATGTTATATCTCACTGACCGAGGCATGCAACTGCCGCGTCACAAACGCTGCGCCGACCAGGAGAAACGGAAGCGGCCAACGCTTCCCGCGGCGGGATTCGAACCAGGATCGCCGGATTGCCAACCGGCCGCACCAAAGCCACAACGCTCACCGAGTCCATGTCGACGGCGTTGTTGTCGAGCATTCGCAGCAGCGTTTCTAGCTTCTTGATGTGGAAGCGGTGCCGCTCGATCCAGTGCTTCAGCTGGTCGAGCCGCTCCGACTTGTCTTTGTCGCGCTTCCTCTTCGCAGTGAGGCCGTCCATCTCAGCCTCGAACTGGTCAATCTGCCGCCAGACCGGACGCCGGTCAGACACCGGAACATCGCAGGCACAGATGCTGCATGCCACCAGTCTGCACTTAATCATGACTATATTATACTAGGATGTATGTTACTTTGTAGCCCATCTGTCGGCACAGACCCATTCGTGCATAATTACGTGTGGTGCGAACACATTGGCGCAGATATAACGCGAGGCACGGCAATAGGCGGGTATGAAGCTACGACAACCGACCACCTCCGGACATCCAGCAGCTATGGCCACATAAAATTATCCAAATAGATACTGAATTATACCTAAAATAGAAAAAAACAAAAGGAAATCAATTTTGCAGGAAGCTGATAAAATCACGCAATACCTGGCACTCCAAGATCCCTACCAACATTCACCAGCCAGTTGCCAGCCCTACGACTAGCCTGCTCCACCAGGAACTGTCCATATACAGCAGAAGACGCGGATGGACACGAGCACATCATAATCACCTGGACCATAGAAAACTTAACAAATGGAGCAAATGTAGCAGAATAACAGGCCAGGGCACATACGAATCGCATCGCAACACAAAGGAAGGCAACTGGAAAGCGAAGCAATATCCACAACCATCTTACATACACACAGAAGGCAGTGGTGGGTCATAAAAAGGTATAAGGAACCAACCCCACAAAAATGTTCGCCTCCACCTTAAGCTTCCGTGAATCGCCTCGAATTGAGCAGGCTGAAGAGACTTCCGCCAGAACACCTGCAATCTGCCTGGATCTGAGCTGACTGGGGAGGGGTGGTGGGCGGTGGGAGAGAGAGCTGAGCCTCTCTAACACGGCCCTGTCAGCGGCGTGAGCAGCAGCCGACCGCCCGCTGGCCGGGAGCTGCTCCGCGCCGGGAGTGAGTGGCCGCGCCGGCGCCGCCGCCCCCCTCACCTGCACATTCAGCTGCTCTATACTGTTGGAAAGCCAGCGCGTGCACTCGTCGCGTTCCTTCTGTACCGGGTCCAGCTTGGTGGCCGCGCCCAGACCCTCCTTGGAGTAGGCCTTGGTCTTGGTCTCCCGCTCCAGACCCTTGAACCGCTCCATTTGCTGAAAGGGCGCGGCTGGACGTCAGCTGACCAGCGTCTCAGCCGACTGAGGCAGAGCACAGCACCTCTCCTGTTCTGCGTTGCGGCCCCGACAGCTGAACAATCGTGTCAATCCCCGTCCAAAGCGCTCCGCCATCTTCTCACGCAGTGCTGAAGCTGGATCGCGACGCTGAACGTTTTCGTGGTCACGGCTACGATCATGTGATGATCAAATCATCACATGATCATCGAAAGATCAAATGATCACGACCATTTTAAACGTCAAAACCACGACACCCCTCCTCTCAGGCCCATGACAGTTCTCATCATGCGTCGGGTCTCGGATATGCGCCGAACGTACACACACCACGGCTGAAATTTGTCAGTGCGCCTCGGCAACAGATAAGCACTCCCCCTCCCCCAGGAGATCATAAGCTATGCTGGATGCACTGAGCGGTTTGACGTTTGGACGTCTAACCTTTTCGTTTTAAAACACCAGAGCGCGTGCGTGAGGCACACTGCAAGTTATACAGGGTCATAGCCTGTATGATGGTCCCAGCCAACGAGCTATCCGTACCGTTTCAATGAGCTTTCGATGTTCGACAAGACTGCTCTTGTCCTTGACCTCAGCAGACGCCTGCCAGGTCTTGATTTGGTCCCGCAGCCGCTGCAGCTTCTTGATCTCCTTCTTGAGGTCAGCCTCATACTTCTCCTTCTGATTGCTGTTTGTGGCATGGGTCACCTTGGACCAGATGTCCTCGAACGTCTCGACGCCCTCTGTCACCTTCTTTAGGCACCTGTCTATTTCACCTGGGGGCAGACAACGGACGGGGCGTCAGCCTCAGTCCCAGCCTTGTATAGCCGCCAGACCACTTTCAGCCATGTGGCGACCTTTGAGAGCGTCACTTACGACCAAGCTGAGCCTGACCTTACCTGGCCTGACCTGACATGACCTTAGCGCCGATCACCCGTCACCTGCAGAGATGGTGATGATTTGGGGCTTTAGGGCGCATCGACTGCTGTAGTTCATGCAGCGCCCATAACTATGAATTCATGCAAAGCCGCCCACCAGGCAAGTGCATTAATCGAGTCATCCCATAAAGCCCTGATGGTCAAGCCCAGTATCATGATGAAAAGATAACTGAGAAATCTATAGCGCGAAGAAACTGGAGCACTTTACCAAACTCGACAGCGTGCAAAGAATCCCCTAAAAAGTCACATAGCATGCGATTCTGGACGTAGTGTCCGAAACACTGCGCTCTCGTTGCAGTAAGGTGACGGCAAGCGACCAGTACGTGACGCACGGTCAGCGGGTCAGAACATCGACTGCGGCATGGTCTGTCGCCAGCCAACAGAACGTGACAGTGCGAAGCATATGTGTGGCCTATGCGTAACCGGCGAAGGGCAGCTTCTTCCCTCCGATTGTCCCGAAAACACGACTGCCATAGTCCAATACGGGGTTTCAAGGACTGCAGCTCGTTGGCGCTCAGCGAGTTCCAGTGGAACTGCCATCGCTCCTGCATAAACGACGACACTGCGGGGTACATGTCTTGAGCTGGTAGTGGTGTTATAGGAATGCGTGTAAATAAAACAGAGAGCTTTGCTGATGGCTATAAGCTCGGAAGTGTAGACAGACGCAGGTGAAGGCAGGATGAATGACCGGGTTGTGGATCCGCACACAAAAGTGCACCCTACACCTGCATCCGTCTTCGAGCGATCTGTATAAGTAATCATGCCCCGTCCAAGGAGGCTATGTGCTCTAAGGCTGCGCCTTTAAGTTCTGTCATGAGAACTCGTTGCTTTTGCATGTTTGATAGCGAAACATCCACTCTTGGCGATGCTAGCTCCCAAGGAGCAGTCTTCATGGGTTTAGGTCTGATGACACGTCCTAAGTTGAGGCCGCTCGCGTCTAAGGGTTCTCTCATTCGTACACAAAAGGGGAAGTTTGTGGGGACCGTTGACGTAGAAAAAGCATTCGTAAGCTACGCGAAAACACTGCTTTGTAAGTGGGATGATGTGGGAACTGCGCCAGCTTGCACATGTAGCAGTTCCCAGATCAGCATCTGCCTTCGCAATGCTAGTGGGGGCTCGTGAGCCTCCACCAGAAGACTATCTATGGACGATGTTCGAAAAGCCCCTGTGGCGATATGTAGTGCGGCGTGGTGCATCGTGTTCAAAGTACGTTTGATCAAGTCTGAAGAACCGTCATAGATAAAACAACCGTAGACAAGTTTTGAACGAATCAAGGAGCGATATAGGAGTAAGAGTGTTTCCATTCACCATTTTTTCCATGAGCTTACAAAGCGAAGATGTGAGGGCGATCGGGCGATAGTCAAGGACGTTCGTTCCACTTTTCCCGGGCTTTAAAATACACACTACTATGGCCTATCGCCAGGTTGGCGGGAAGTTACCTGACTCCCATATAGTTGAAAAGTGCCAGCAGTGCTCGTAGAACACGGGGAGGAAAATACCGTACCATATCACTGCGGATGAAGTCGGACCCCTCCGCTACACTACGCAGCGAGCAAATGGCCGCTTGAGGTTCCATCGAAGTGAAACGCTTGTTGAAGGTCAGGATGTCCCCCTGTATACAAATTAACTTACGAAGTTTCACATCGCGCCCGGTGCCGCAAAAACCGTGGATCGCAGGTGTCATTTCGGCAACGGTCTGACAAGGCTTCCCCAATGGCTTCTGCGACATCACTTGGGTGAGTGATGTCTTGACTTCCCGCCCGCAGTACGGGAAGGGAAACTGGTGGATGCGGTCCATCGATTCCTTTAATGCGGCCCCCTACATGTGACGTCGTTGTGTGGCGATTCAGTGAGTTGACGTAGCTGCGTCATGATGCATGTTTCGCCTCTCGTATAGTGCGGCGTGCGGCCGCTCATGCTTGCCTGAAAGCCACGAGGTTTAATGTGCTGCTGTGCTGGTCAAAAGCCCTAAAAGCTCTCCGACGTGCACGAATAGCATCGCGACGCCACCTGCAGAGAGACACATCGACCCCAGAAATACCTCGCACTGCCCCTGGTCGTGTCCGATCGATATCCACACAACAACCTCAACACACACACATACGCCGCCTCTCCAACATTCATAACACGCTAGACGCCAGCGCTGCCCACTGCGCCTCCCCCCCCCCCCCCCCCCCCGCCACGCACAAAACATCTCCGACAGTGCCGGCGAGCGAGGCCGACAGCTCGCGACGCCGGTCGAGTCTGCTGCGGCTGGCTAGCGCCGGCTCATCGCTCTCCCGCCCACGCCGGCCACCGTGCTGGTGCGCGACGGAGGACCACTATACATCGTCAAAAAGAACCGCACGGGGTGTGGTCGCGTGGTGGCGCCGCCGACATGCTGGCATGGTTCCGGACCGCCATGCCGCTCGTGTCACCATGGCAACGGCAACGTGACGGCCCACCGACCACGCGTCATAGCAGAGTCACCCAGCGAGCAGCGCCTCAGTGTGCAGATGTGGGTGTGAGCGTCTGCACTAAGAGCACCTGTGCTGAATACTTAACTGGTATTAATGTGGCAGTCACACGACAGTGCAATGTGCTTGACAATTAAACCAACTGATATGATATCTGGCCATCATGGTGCAGCATACAATAAGCTGTCTAAGATAGTCATGGCATGACCATATTGTGCATAAAAAAGGATGCAAAACTACTGCCAGACTCAAATACAAAAGACAAAGACATAGACAACATATGACATTGGGAATTAAAGGGAAGGCTGCTTCAAACAAACATGTCTAGCACAACATATGTGATTTAATGGGAGAGGGCCATTGGCTGTGAACATCACCACAAATAGTTCCAAATGTTGTCAGGCCCTCTGCCAGCATCTCACAGCCAAGAAGTCTGAACTGCCGAAACAAGTTTGCTGTGCGGATGGTGGCAATACTCTGGCACTGTTGCCAAGTGAATGGAATTGCCTCACAAGCTGCAGTCTAGATTGCCACGTTTTCTGTTCAACTAGAATGTTTCGGTAGTTTTTTCAAAAATGAGTAACGTAAGCTGTCACACAATATATAACACCAAAATTAAGGCACAAAGTTAGAAATCAAAATATATCTTGATGGGGGACAATGGTTTTTAAAAGTGGTAAAAACAGCATCCCCATAGAATAATTCCAAGAATGCAGTTATCTTAGAGAATCATGTGAAATCAGAATCATGAATCTGGGACCAGAATCAGAATCTGGCATGACTTGTCTAGTCATACACATACAATTTCATTACAGTGCATAAGTTGAATCCATATATGTGATGCAGTACTAAACAATGTGATCTTAAGATTATGCACTTATATTTATTTTTGGCTCCTTTTAATTGCTGCCCACATTTTATACCAAAAAATTATGTCGCTGATTTATGCGTGACTATTCACATCAGGTCCACCGACATAATGGGTTTAAACAACATAAAGTACCACTCTACAATCCCATACTCTCTCTCCACCCTCCACCAACACAAATACACTTAAAATCAAAAATGCTTCAACAAAATCTGCACTTGCAGGAAGTCACTGACATTGACGACTTGCTACAAAAAGCAAATCTGTTCATTTATCTCTGCATTTCAAAAACAAATTAGCTTTCCTAACATAGATGTCAGCATAAAGCATGCTAATACACTACTTATATATCAGAATTTCATGAACTGGCATAACTGTGCTTCACTGACATTCAGCAACAACACCTTCAGACAGCCAAACTGTGGTTGTTGTTACTGAGACTTAATGGCACACCCATCTGTTGAGGCTGTATGCCAATGCCTGCCTCTCACCCTAGCCAGCAGTGCTAGCATCACAGGGAATCAAACCATGTGCATCTGATTCCTGGATGTACAGTTTTACCACCACACTATCCTTACTAGCTGCAGAACATTTCATCAAACATTTTCCTATTCTCTGTTCAACTTCTCAAATGTTTTCAGTGTGCACACCTCCAGCAGCAGAGAGCTTAAGCCAGCATGCCACTTCACAGCTGATGTTAAAAGCTTGTTGGGACAATTAGATGACACTGTGTGAGGGATGTCAGGACGCAGGTGTCAGGGATCCATTTCATTCCCCGTGAGTCTAGGGGTCTCAGGTCTGAACCCCCACAAGAACCTGAGCAATAATCCAGGATGCAGAACTGCAATTCCAGAATGTATGTAATCCTACCAGCCATTTGCATTCACTTCCAATTTTGGCCCCACAAAATATCTGAATTTTATGCCTGGGTATATCTTGCAATATTTCAAGTAACCTATGTGCAAGTGACATGTGTGGGTACAGTAATTCATGGAACTGGTAACTCAAGGGCCTCACTGGCATCATATCTTCCATCACACAGATCTGTGCATATCACTGCCAGTAAATGGATTGCATCTTGACACCAGTTGCTTGTTGAGACAATTGTGATACTGGTTTTGGTGCACATGCATGATTTCAGAATAGGAGATTGTCTTAAGCCACTTAGACCAAATGCAGTGCTAATGTGCCATGCTATCCACCTCTTATCAATGTAACACTGGAATGTACTTCTTTTGACACCCAAAAATGTTTGTCCAGGACTGACATGAAAAGCCCTTTGGTGGCATATTCTAGTGATACCTACTCAATGACAAAACAGCTAAAAGATAATTGTCTGGCTAAAGGCATAAGATATCTCAGGTATTGGGACATGAGTTTTAACAAATTAGACCTATATAAAGCAAATGCTGTGCACCTTGTATTACCTACAAGAGGTTGCTGTAAACACATATTCCAAACCTCTCACTTGCAATATCTAAGGTTAAAATGCCTTATCATAATATTACAACTAAATGACAAGATACACTATGCATTACTCTGACCCATGCTTTAATATCAGCAAACAGAAACTGGGAGATGTATCAGCAGATATGACACAGCAGTGTCACAACCCAAACATGCATGTGTTTCCAATTAATGTAATGTGTAATAATAATTCAATGTCATCTTTTGATATACCATTACTATGCCCATCACTCACTACAATGGACATGGACAAATGCCTCCCAGACTTACAAAAAGTTATCTGATATAGGTGCACTGCACAACTAAGGTTTTCTATGTAACAAAACAACATATAGGCTTTTATTTGGCAACATAGGCATGCATGCAGACATCTTCATATATCTTTTATATAATACATTCATTTTCACCTGCCTGATGCTTATGAGGGCCAAATCATCTGATAACCTGGGATAATAAGGCAGCACCCACTGATATGCCTACACAGTACTCAGATAAGTAACAGGCATAGACCAATCAGATACTCATGATAATAGACAAAGCCAAAGCACACCACAGGTTCTAATTTGACTAAAAAGTCTTAAATATTTGTGCATACATACTTTCAAAAGGTATACCTAAAATGACAACTTCCAACAAACCACATTATCATTTAGCTTACAACATTCCTTGCTGTTGTAAATTGAATCATCATATGTCATATAATGATTGCAGACATTCATCTACAAGTCCACAAATTTGGCTTTGTTAAAAGGCCACCAGCATACTTCGAATTACAGGGTTGCAGCTTTCACTGAGATACGTAGGCTCAAAGCGTCCTCAGAGGCGCAGCAATTGTCTACAAAAATCACCCCAATATTTGACCGGATTTCAGGCAATAACAGCGCTCTCACCTTGTAGTTTTCTGGACGCTGCCATGTTTCATCACCTGCTTTTCCTTACACTTTTATACATAACATAAAACAATGAGTATCAGCTATGATGCGGTCGGTTCGACCTCTGCAGCGGCGCAAAACATGAAAGATGGCCTCCAATTTGAAGCTGAACATCTACCGAACGTATATGCATACGCGTAAGAATATAGTATCTAGTTTTTATCACAATTCACCTTTAAAATATGTCTGGATGAGAAAACAGTTCACGTTTTTCAGTATGTATAAGATATAAAACCACAAATAGTAACATAACTTTCAAGAAGCTCCCTTGCGCGGAAGATTACTATATCGATGCATCAGCTGACAAACGTAAACAAAAGGCATCGGGCACTTCGCGTAGCGCCGCTCGACGCGCACAAAATGAAACATGTGGAGTTCCGGGGTGTTTGCTCGTTGTAAATATAGCTAAGTGGATCCACGGCCAAATGATTTTAAAGCGGACAAAAGTGAATTACTGCGGAATTACAATTTGTATTACCTGAATAGAAGCGTCGACGCCGTGGGGACTTGGGGGACGCGTCCCCACAATTTTCAGAACGTGGGGGACCGTCCGCCACAATTTTCAGAACGTGGGGGACCGTCCGCCACAAGCCCAGAGATCCGAAGTTGCAACTGCTGGTACATGCGCTCTGGTGGAGCGGCTAAAAGCGTAGAATCTCGCGCAAAAATGGCACGATGCAGCAAAATGCGGATATGTAAAAGCAAACAGGTAAATTTGGCTCGGGCCGAAGTTGAAACGGCTTCCGTGTTGAGCATAAATTATTATCAGTATTCTGAGCTATCGTCCCAGTACTGCAGTTCAACAAACTCGTTTTGCTTCGGGACTTTTCAGGTAGCACCACAGGGCCTTTATCGTGCCGTAAAACTCCACGATTTCCGGCTGCCCTGTAACCAGTCTAACTCAACCAAGGCAACATCCAAATGCTCTTAATGATCAGCCAAACGCAAACACAAACATTGGAAGGCCAGCCCACCACCTCGCATTAAGCCACATCACGCGTGTGGTCAGCAATACCTTCAGCACTGCAACGGAGTTGGGCTTCGGCAACGACAGTATGTGTATCTGTATATATATATATATATATATATATATATATATATATATATATATATATACAGAACTTTGTAAGCTTTTTGCCGCGTTGCAATCAACGGCTTGATGTTATATATTAAGATATTGCTTAAGCTTAAGCTTGATATTACATATTAAGGCAACACGGCATAACGCCACTTTATTAACCATCTGCTCAGGAGTTATTGCTTACATCTGAAATATAATATACCTGTCTGCCTACGCAGATCTGGAATGCCTTTAGGCTGTGAATGTTCCATGCATTCAAAAAACTGGAGCCGTTCGCAAGCCGCTTGCGAAAATTGGGTTCAACCGTTATCCCTTTCAGCTCCCATCGCCCCAGGCGGGTGCTGGTTTATTCGTATTTTTGAGCGTTCAGAGTGAACGGAAAACATGAATGGTTAAGGCCAACACTAAGGGCGCTATTATCGAGAGTATAATTTTACACTCATTTCGTTGGAGTGTGTAACCAAACCGCAGAAAGGGTGCCGTATAGATCTGATTTAGGTGTTCGGTGTAGTTAAGACATTGTAGCTGCGGAACTGTAAATTGCGGACAAATACCGAAGTGGACTGGACGTCACCATGCATTCCAGGACAGACTAACCGGTGTATCACACTATCAGGATGTGGACTAACTTGGCAAAGCAAGAAGTCTAGAGCGTTCAGTACGCCTGTGGTGTTATTAGGTATTTTATTAAAGCGGTTTCTGGTTTAAAACCCCCGCCAAGTTCGTGTTGTGTTGCTGTAAAGATCTTCTGACGGTCAGTGATCTACTTTGAGGAAAAGAAACCAGGCAAATGTTGTCAATATATGTGTGGTAGCCGCCACATTATAACAAATAACAAAGTCATAGAATATAATTTAACTATGCAAAGATGTTGGTAAATGGTTCCAAGGGCCCAGGGATCTTGATATTTACGCTGTTTGCGTGTGAAAGATCATGTATTGAGCTACTTAAGAAGAAAAAAAGCAAGAAAAATGTGCCCGTCATGGGTTACTTCTCAACGTATAGCACGATCACCAAATCATCAAATGGTCATAACGTGCATGTACTTTTGCAAGCTATTTCGGCGAGGCTATTTCAAGGTCGCCCAGGCGTCCATGACGTCATAATAACTTTATTCAAATCCCGTCATTACTTGCCCACGCAGCGATCAGGACTGATGAAGATATAACTGTCGAGTCGTTCATATCCGGCGTCCGTAAACACGACTCCCAGACATAACGACCGTCAACTGGCTCTCGATCAGTGTTGTGCAGGGCGCAATGACGCAGTCAAACAATGACGCATTTAGGAGCATATTTACAAAATAGAGAAATGATCTGGCCTAGATAAGCCTTTTCCACTTAAAAGCATACCAACAGTTTTAAGTTCGATTTTTCCATGACACCTGATACCTGCTCCAGTATCTTCAAAAGTGGAACATTTGCTTTAACTCCTCTAGCGCATGGGAGCCCGAGTCACAGGTCGCTCACCACGCAGCCGACACGCCGCGGACCAATCACTGCCCGGGTCACAACGCCCCGGGCACCGCGACCTCCGACCGCCGAGCGGGCAGGACACACGGGACGGACACGCCGCGCAGCCGGGGACGGGGTGGCCAACACAAGCAGCACTGCTGCAGTTTTGCATCCTACGACAAGGACAAAGTGACGTTAGATTACGAACATTAAGCACGCGGGTTTACATAGCGAGTTGCCCTGAGCAGTAAAGCAAAAAATAGGCAACCATGTCACCCAGCATTTCATATAGGTGTGGCCAATCCCACACTAGCGTCTCTTAGGCAGAAAACGGTTCCAAGCGCATCGTCAATGCAAATACCAAACGCCCGTCAGACAAGCCCGCATCAGCACCCAACGCTCGCCAGTCAGGCTTCTCTTGGCGCCCCGACATACAAGAGCGCGCTGCGACCCGTCAGGCTGGTGCACCCGCGTTCTCTGGTCGGGGTATGAGTCATCACCTGGAAGTACAGGGGACGGATCAGGTTTGAACGTCTCCATCGGGCGAGCCGAACGGCGCACGTCAATTGGTCAGATACCGCACTCACAAAACCTGAAATGAAAGCCCTGCGTAGCTCGCAGCCAGACCCGACAAACAAAGCAACAAGATCACCGCGACGTCACAGGCTCCACGACAGACATGTGGCTGAAGTTCAGCTACTAGCAGCCCAGGCCAGCCACAGCCAACACCGACATGGTACGCCCTTTGTCCTAACTACTTAATCTAAAACTACGCTATAATGACCCGCCATGACAGGAGAGGTAACTTTTTATAAATTTGATCCGATCCCTTTGAATGGATGGATTTCTGGGATCAGCGCTCACGGTAAGAAGTGCTTATGTGAGCCCTGACCCTCACCATCCGATCGCGCAATTCCGGGCAACGGCAGAATTTAGTGGCGAAAGCTTAACGTTCCGTAATGCTCGGCACGGTCCGTCCTGCCCTCTGACGTCAACTGACCTTTAGCGCGGCCGTTGCCTCCGGTCGCAGGCCATACCTGACAAGGGCGGATAGCGAGCGCCCTAAAGCGACTCGAATCCCCCCTGCCACGGGTGGGTGGATTGGAAGGTAGGCGCTCTAGCCAACTGAGCTACCGGGACGAACTGACGGGATGGACGGACTGACCGACAACAGCGTCAAACAGAATATAAACCAGTTAAGGGGACGTCTGAGCCGAGTAGAACACCGGAGAATGGCCCGATCCCCTGAACCATCCTGAGAAGACAGTCTACGGCCACCCGAATCGTCCGAGACCACTGAAGCGTCAGGTGCGGCAGCACATTCGCCCGGAGCAGCTCGCCTCGGACCGGCGTCAGTGACGGCCAGGCCAGTTAGGGCGTCCGGTTCCCGCGGAGCCGAGACGGGAGCCGCCACCGGGGCCTCCTCAGTCAGCGGCTGCCGCGCCAGTTAGGACGTCCGGCTCCTGCGGAGCCGAGATGGGAGCCGCCACAGGAGCCTCCTCAGTCAGCGGCTGCCGCACCAGTTAGGACGTCCGGCTCCCGCGGAGCCGAGATGGGAACCGCCACCGGAGCCTCCTCAGTCAGCGGCTGCCGCGCCAGTTAGGACGGCCGGCTCCCGCGGAGCCGAGACGGGAGCCGCCACCGGAGCCTCCTCACCAGGAGGCCGAGCGGCAGTGAGATAGCGTGCAGCCCGACCAATCCACCGATCCACGCCGTCTACAGCGTGACGATTCAAGCTTGACTCTGTCCTCCCCAGACGGAGAGCCGCCCCTGCTCTTCTCCTCATCCACACTGCTGTACGACGCCAGACGCGACCCTTGAACTGGACAGTGTAGCGACTTCAGCCTGTAATGGGGAACCCGCAATGTTTTGCCACTGTCTTCAAAGTGTACACACGGCTCCAATCCCCGTGGACAAACTCAACGATGTCCAGGTTCCCGCGACGAACGCATTTTTCTATTTGCTAAAACGCTATTGAAAAGTGGCACTTTGTCCCTAGTTTGTTAGGAAAAGTGTTAGGTTTTCGCTCCTATATGCGCTTGCTCATCCCGTTGCTTGTGTCGGACACACAAATAGAAGTGCACTCCCAGTAAGTGCTACGCAGATCCTCACAGAGTTTGTCCATATAAGCTGCGACGGAGGTGGATTTTTTTAGCGCACGAGTTGCACACCGATCTCCACATCAACCTGCAAGCGACGCTCTAGACCCAGCATTAAGAAGAACGGACTGTAGCTCAGAGATCTGTGCACTCGTTATCTGTATCCAAGCATAATCAGGTCTCACCGCGGAGGTTTCCATTGAAATGCTCTGATAACATGCCCAACACAGCTCTCCTTATCAGCGCACACTGGGTATTTCGCTGCGGAAGAAAACTAGTCGTGCCCGTTTTGCGGACACGCAGAAGCCCACATACCTTGGCAGTCAGTTCACCCTTCAAATTTGCTGCACAGAGTGCAAGGGCTTTTTCGGTGCTCGAACAGAGAAAACAGCTCATGAGTTAGGACGTACGCCACCGTACCAGCAGACATGTCTGGAAGAGGAAATACCTGCACC